TTTCTGACATCCCTCATGGCAGATTTTTTTGCGTAAAATATCTGCAAAGTTGTCTTCATTCCAATCACCTCTATCATTCTATTTACAAAACACTTGATGTAGGTGATTCAGTTAATTCTGTATAGCCACTGCTTTACATGCTGACCAAAATTCTCTCCTTTTTTTTAGTCTTTTCTGTTGGTATGAACTGGAAGCTCTTTAGTACTGTTTCAGATAGTCCTTTACAAATGTATAATTATGTGTCTGTCTTTATGCTCTCCTCCAATATAGACAAATTATTATAAAGTGGAACTAGTTAGCATAATTTGCACTAAGTAAATGAATGAAATGCAAACATTCAATTGGGGAGGGATAGACGCTAAGCTTTTTTCAGTTATGGACTGCAGGTCTCCCCCAGTATTTCCTTTATTTTTAAGACACAATATCTTTATATTAAAATAATATATAGGTGATAGTTTTCTGCAGATAAGGTCTTGATTTCTTCCCCTTCCTTCTCTCCTTCCTTTAGTAATGATTTTCTCCAAGCTAATACTCTCTCCTTGCTCTTTGGTAAAGCATCTGTACTATAGTATATGCAATAAACTTAGTTGCTTTTGAGACAGTAATACAGAGAGTAAAAAACTTCTACTGACTTAGTACCTCTACATGACTAGTTTTCGTATATTTACATGAGTGCTTCTGTGTTCCTTGTTTTAAGATTCAGTAAAAAAATTTAGGGGTATAAAGCCCTCACAGAGGCCTTTTTCCTATAAAAAACTTTGTTTGTGAGACATTGAAATCACACTAATAGCATTATTTCAGCAAATAGCTGTTTTCGATTAGAGATTGCCTTAAAAGGAATCCTTGATTTGACTTCCCTGAACTTGGTAAGATTTACCGCCTAGTTTGGGACTTTGTGGCTTAGTTCCATCGCTATTTTTAAAGCTTTATCATCAGCACAAAATGACAAAGGGAAGCATGAAATAGGGCTATGCTGTAACAAATCAAAGGTTATCTAGTAAGGTACTAGTCATTAAGTTTGACAGATTGTTTTTACTTGCATGTATACTTATATAGAGTGGAGCAGAGAGGAGCACGTTAATTTTTTGACTCAAACCTGCATAGGAAACATTACAGCCTTTCTTGCCTGCATTATGTATCCAAAGGTAAATAAATACCGCAGTATTGTCCCAGAGTCTTCAGAGCCTTGCGTAAGGTCAGATGACAGGAAAGGCATTAAATATGCCTATCAGGCAATGTCAAAAAAGTGCCGATGTTCCTCATATTGGGGCAGTTTCCCCGTGCAGTCCTTTGCCTGCAGCTGTAAACAGTATCTGCAAAAATCAGGTCCGTAAAACAAGAAGTAAACAATACGTTTTCAAGATCAGTGAAAAAAACGTAGCTGTTCCGTTATGAAATGTTTTTGTCAGAACAAATAAGGAACTGCTTCCCACATTCTAGATTTTTCTAAAGAGTAAGATTACAGTGGAACAGCAAGCAGGCTTTTGCTTCAGAATTGAGGCCTTTGCTGTTTTCTTGTGTTTTTTGCAATGCTAGACACTTCCCAGCATGCACATTTTTCCAGGAGCCTGGCTTTGTGTTCAAAGGGAGACTCAGCACGTGGATTCTTGTTGTAGAAAACGAGCCTCACGATGAAATGTCCAAGCATTAGCAACTCAGGGCTGCTACGATGAGGAGTGTTGAGAGGGTGCCCATCCTTGCATTTCTTGTACTTCTTACCATATTTGACTGCATTTTCATGGGGCTGCTACAGGTTTTGGTCTGTTCTGCCGGTGAAGAGTTAAGAGTAATATATTTACCAAAGGCTCGGGGCTAACAGCACCTAGATGGCCTCGAGGATGTCGCTTTCTTCTCACAGTCCACAAAGAGAGGATTCTTAATCTGTCAGTAGCATTCCTCCCTCCTCCGCAACGAGTTCTAGATGGTATTAAGTTATTTTTTCCATGTGAATTCTTAAATTTGGACATTCTGAGAACCTCATAGCAGATTTATTTTTGGCAAAAGTTAAAAGTTCTCAAAATATGCTTCTTTTTTAAAAAGAAAGAACCTAGTTGCCAAATACTGCATATGGAATAACTGCTTCAGAGGGCCTTTCTGATTTCTGTTCCAAAAATGAAATTCAGTCCTTTCATTTATTATTATTATTAGTAGTAGTTTGGATTATTGTAATTTGATTACTCTTCTTAGTTTTGATGCACTTCATGTTTTAAAATATTTGTATTTCTTACCAGTAATTAAAAATGGCAAAAGACTGCAAGCTCTAAAAGCACTATATTTTGCAGATTTTGTTGCCTTCTGCTCATTTTTTAGGGCTTTCAGTGGTGTTTACTTCCATGTTTTGCATTAATCCTATCAAATTCTGCAGAGAATAAAAAATGTTCTGTTGAAATAGTCATTTTCTGTGCCAACAGCCTTTTTGCCCCTTATTCGTTCTTGCACTGCTTGTCTGAAGAATACTGCAAAAGCATTGCATGCTTTGCATATTCTAACTGAAATTTGAGAAGAAAATCCTAAGCTTTCCTTGGGAATTGGAAGATTCCCAAGGGAAATTAATTATAGCATCTCTTGGTGGTTCTGGATGCCAAAGGAAACAAAGATGTGAGAAAGGTACCGGTTAAATCTTTGCTGATGTAATATGTTTGCCTGTCTGGGCACCACTAGCAATATCTGCACTGAGGAACCTTGAAGTTAGGGGAAGATTTTCAAGTCTTGAGTAGTATTTGCTTAGATTTGAAAGATGCGAAGGACTTGAAGGTTGGCCCTCACATATTGTTCGGGCTAATACTCAATATGAAGTATTACTTCCAACAATAGCTAGAAATACTGTCTATAAATGTTAAAGTGTTTGTATTTATAAAAAGATTGAAGAGACCTTCCAAAGTAAAGAACATTTCCTATTCTTGCAGGTAGCCACGCTGTAAGCTTCATTAAGTCATGAAATTCTATCTTAACGGATTTTTGTCCTATCTGCTGCTAGAGAAAAGCAGCTGTAGAACATTGTGACTTTGCTGGATGCAAACCTCATTCGCATTTCAGTCTTGAACATATTCGTGCCTGGTTTTTTCCACTGGTAGTTCCCTCACAGCCTGGTTTTGAAGAGGACCTGGTAAAGGGAGCTACCAGAGGAATTCATTTGGCTAAGTAAACTTTCAGGAGGCTCTCCTGGGGATGTTTTTAACCTCAGGCAAGGTAGGATTTATTTTCCTTTGGTGGTCTAGGTGTGGCCTGTTGTCTTTAGATTGGGCATGCTATGCTTAAGTTGTTGCTTTCCCTCACTGGTGTTATCTGCTCAAATCTATTTAAACAGAGATCATTTAGGCTCCTAGATTTCATTTTGGAAGGCTACAAAGACATGTTTTTTTATTCTCTCTCTGGATCTTGCTTGTAGTCATCCTGTGCACTGGTTTGACTCAGCTTTTTTGGACTGATGACTGGAAGCGTAGGCAGTTCTGAAATGATTGCACCCAGACCTTCTGTAGTTGTGCAGGTACTATTCTGGTGTTACTGAAATCCAGGGGTATGCTTTTTAGAACTGTCTTTTCCTTTTTCTCTGTTACCTTTTTGGTGACTGACGTTCACTAGTATGTTCCTCCTAATGCTCAAATAATCTAAAGGTATATAGCAAAAAAATCTTGTTGGTAGTCCCCAGGTGCGTCACCTTATATGTTATACTGCTGAATTTTGTCCCAGTTTTTCAGACCGCCACTTCTCACGGTCATTCAGTTCTTTCTGTGTAACATCCCAGTGTTTGGTTTGACACTATGTTTAACGTTGTCTAAGTGGCAAGACTGATCTGCACACAACTGGATTTTGCGCCGTAATCATTAGCCAAAATACTGGTCTTAGTACTGATTTTGTTTAGTCTTGGAGGAACTCCTCTAATAACCTCCCTGCAGCCCAGTATGTCTGCTTTGAACATGCTGTATGTTGCTAACTCCCTATTTACCAGTTCTTTACCCACTTTACTGTTTTTCTACCAACACCGATTTTCCCCTGTTTTGTATTCCAGCTACCCTATGCCTGCTGTTTGAAAAATCCATGCATCTCACCAAGTATTTGCCTGGTGTGACTTGACTTTGGCAATCTGCATTGCTTTTCTTTGTTTTTCTCCATGGCTTTGATTGTTCTTTCTAACAGTGTTCTGAAGCCTTTGTTTCCAACATGTCAGCCCTGCACTTGTTATTGTTTAGTCACATATGCCACCAGCAGCTTGATAGACCAGTTTCAAGTGGCCTAGTTGTACCTGCAAATAGTTGTGCTAGGTCTTTCAGACCTCTTGGGTAAGCATCTTCCTTCTCTGCCCCCTCAGCTGGGGATACTGAAGCTCTTTCGGTTTCATTTCCAGGCTGGTAGTAGTAATTTCCATTACCACAGCACTGGTCTCTGTCAGCATGCAGCCATCGTCATTACTGTTGAAACTGGAGGCAGAAGTGTTTGCATGGTTTTGGTGCTGATGCAAATTCCCACTAATACAAATTAGAGCTCTGTATCCATGTCCAAATCCAGGGTAAGGGGCCGGATATTGCTAGCTGACTGTGAGCAATAACTAAGGAAGTTGCCTTGTTAAACGTGTTTTGGGGCCTAATAGAGTCTCATTTGTCCATCTTATTTCTTGCAGTGGGTCTTGTGCCCAGAGGTTCATCTTCCCCTACACCCAGCCATTTTGGTTAGTCTAATGAAATAATATTGCTTCTTCCGACAAATCTTTCCTGTCTCATTTCTTTAGAGTCTCTTATCATTCGTGGATATTTCTGTTTTTCCCAAGTAGCGCACGTAGCAATATAAGGATTTGAGCTCGGGTTGCCATGCCATCACGTTCATGTTTGCCCTGTGTTTTTTTTTTTTTTTTGATAAGGTTTTTTACGTTGCCTGCAGACTTAAGTCTTTGGGGTTTGAGGTTCAGTTAATAGAGGAAGTTTGAAAAAAAAATAGCTAGGAACTCTCATGCTTGAAATATTTCTGATGCCTCTCTGAAGTTCTGATACTTGTTTACTTTTTAGATCCTCCCTTCCCAGATGTAGAGTTTGTTACAGCAAAAGGTTCTGCGCCCATGCTCAGACTCCGGAAAGCAGATGATCGAAATGGCCCGATCAGGTTTGTCTCTGTGCACGCTTTACCCGTTCAAAAAAACGTTCTGTAGATTTATGTTACTAATAAAATGGAGCTTTTTGTTTGGGTTAGGCTATTTTTATTAGCAATGGGATAAAACTGAGCTGTAGTTCCCAGTTTCACCTCTCTTGGCAGGATAGTACTTGGCTCC